CGGGCGAGGGGAGTTCATCCCTTCCCCTTTTTCTAACATCAAGAAACGCAAGAAAAAAAAAACAAGAAGCAGGAAAAACAAACAGACAAACGAACTGTGAGGAAAGGAAGACTCAAATAAATGCTACGAAACAAAATATTCGGCTCCTTGGGTCGGTTCTGTGCCTCTCGTTGTCCCTTCCTCAGTTGAAGGGAAGGGGGGCTGCGCGGTGGTCAGCGCTTTTGATGCATCCGCTTCGGCGCCCTTCTGTTTTTTTTTTTTGTCTTCTGTGTGTGTGTGTGTGTGTTTCCCCCCCTTCGTAACGGGCCGCACTGCCGCGGTGGCGTGGCGTGGAGTTGGTGCCGGCGCAGGGAGAAGACTTCCTCCCCGGGCGAAGGAAAAAGGGAGCGAAGGAGACGCGTAGCGTACTTGCCAGCGGGGCCGGTGGAGGGATGGGCAGGGAGGCGGCGCCAGTCTGCAGGGCGCCGCGGCGGCCAACGGCGGCGGGTGGGCGGCGCACCTCCCGGCACCCGTCGCAGCTGCTTGAGCCGTACGCCCAGCCGCTGCTGCGGCGGGTTCCCTCGTCGTCGTCTTCCGCCGCTGTGGCGGTCAGACGGAGCTCGCGCGCGGCGGCGTTGCCCCGGCAGGCGTCGGTGGAAAGCCCAGCGCAGCCAAGTTTTGCCACGACGGGCATCGATGCGCTGCACCGCCTCACGCTGGAGGAGTGGAGTGTATGCAGTCTGATGGCCACTGTGCTCCAGCGCAAGTCCACAGAGGAGGCCGAACGCATTGCCGCCGAGGTGACGAAACTGGCGCTGCACCGCCGACTGCTTGCGGGGTACAGTGGGGTGTACGCCGATGGGGCTGCCCGCGGCGGCGAACACGCTCTGGCGGCGGAAGATAATGGTAGAAAAGCGGAGTTGATTCGCCGCCTGCAGGAACAGCAACGACGCGAAGAGGAGCGACGAGCACACTTATGTGTCTCTAACCGTAGGTTTCAACAGGATGATCTAAGAGCGCTGTGCAGGAAACTTTTCAGTCACGGTGGTGCAAATGGCCGTGGCGGCAGTGCTGCTGCTGCTGCTTCCATGGCGAAGAAAAAAGGTTCGGCACACAGGCGCAAGACACCCTCCGACAGAAAACTGGCGCGGCGGCAGCAGCAAGGTGGACATAATAATGTGAAGGAAATAACGGTGACGAAGAAGCCGATTTCTGTTCCGAGTGTGCCAACGAACGTTCCACGACGGGCGAAGCCGCACAAGGCTGTACCCTCGTTTGACGAAGTGTGTGCAGACCGCTACTGTGCTTCTGGGTACTCCAATGAAAGTACGCCGACTGTGTCTATTGGCAGCTACGCTGCAATGAGCGCAGCGGATGACTCGGTCCAGCGGTCGAATTCGTTTACTTCCCCAGGCGCGCCTTTCTACGGCCAAAACATCCACGAGAGCACTTCGGCAGATAAAGAGGCTGTCTGCGTCGATGCCGGTCTCGCGCCTTCGATGCTGTTCTCCACCATGCGCCCTGCGTCAGCTCGAGCGCTGATGGGCGAGCTTGTCCTTTCCTCGGAGGCCGAGGCGCAGCCGCCAGAGTTGCTTGACGGGCACCACCGCGCCGGGCTTGCCCCAGTGCAGCCGACCAACCCCGCTGCCGCAGCGGCAAACTTGTCGTCGTCCAAAAACAACTTGGTCGCTCTGTCGCCGCTCTCGTCGTTGATTTCGCCCTCCTCCAGCAGCGCCACGACGGCAACGGACGCCTGTGGGGCGGGGCATCCGCGGCACTTAGACGGCGACGTAAAGCTGCCGCCCTCGTGGGAGGGATGAGGAGGAGGGGGAGTTTTTTCTTGGTCCCCGGTGACGGTGCTCTTTCCTGGTTGTTACGCCATCCTCGTGCGAGCGGGGTCGCGGCAGCCGGCAAGCAACGCGCAAATAACTATGGAAAAAGACGACAACAAAGGCAAACAATAGAGCTCAACGTTGGGGGCTGGGAGTGTGGGGAATGCGGCAGGCGTTGCCGCGAGCAGCGAGGGTGGCGGGAGCGGTGAAGTGAAGGGGTGACGCGGGTGCACGTGCGGCGCCCACCGCCGAGAGAGTTCTGGAGGGGTTGGGGCGCGCCAAACCGCGCACGCGCCCTGTTGACGGCTCCGCCCGCACGTGAAACAACGAACTCACACACACGCACCGCATATACAGTAACGAGGGCGGTGACAGCCTCCTCAGCGGGAAATAGACGGAGAACGCAAACAACCACGAAGCAACGACCGCAGTAAAGAGCTCTGGGACCGTGAAGGATAGGGAGAGGCAGAGGCGGATGGGCAGGGCGAGCTGTGAATGACATGTGGTGGCTTTGTTTTTTGTTTTTGTTTTGTTTTTTCCTCCCCACACTTTCCTAAAGGGGGTACACACACACACACACAAGATGTCGAAACGCGGCCGCGAGGAGGATGAGGCGGTTGAGGTGTACGCGGCGCTACTGCGGCAGAGTGGAGCCCGTGCGGTGGAGCGGATTCGGCAGCGGCGGGGCGGCAGTGTTTTGCCTATTGACGCCCTCGTCATACGGTACGCAATATGGTACCTCGACACACGGGCCTTCCCGGTTTCTAGTTACCTCACCCAGGCGCAGCGCGTCGTCTCGGAGGCCATTGAGCGGGTCTCGCAGCCGCAGCACTATGCCTTTGTGCCCCTTCCGGCTCTCGTCGAGTCCCTCGTGGCGGAGAACACGGCGGACGTCATGCAGCAGACAGTTGCCCAAATTGAAGAGTTCATCGACGCTCGGGATGCGTTGGGGCGGTGGCTTGACGAGAACACCGGCGGCGGCGACTACGCGGTCAACAACGAGGACGACTACTTGGACACCGCTGTTGACTTGGCCGCCACCCTCTGGAGAAGTGCCCTTTTCTGGGTTGCCGTCCTCGAGTACATTGAGGCGCTCTCGCTTAGCAGCGCCAAGGTAAACGCCTTTGCGCTGCGCCCAAAGTACGAGCACGCCCTCATGGAGCTTCTCAACTTTATTGCTGCCCCACGTGTCGCGGGGCACTGGCGTCCGATCGAGCCGGCAACGAATCCTACGCTGGCGGGGCCCGCCGACCCCCTGGCGAAGGGCGAGGAGGTCAAGAAGGAGGCAGCGGAAGCGGCGGCCGTTGCTGCCCCGCCGCCAGAGAGTCACCAGGATGCTGAATCCACGCGTGCATTTGTCGTGAGCAGGCTGCTGGCTGACCTAACGGCGCTGACCAACATCCCCAGCGACAGCCCCGCGGCTGCCGGCATCAATGCCACCTTCTACTCCATGGTGCACGCCCGGTTGAATGTCTTGGCGGCGTGCGATCGCCTGGACCGATTTAGCACCTCCGCTGCGGTTCCACCGCCGCCGTTGACGCCGTCGCTGCAGGCGCTGCAGGCGCAGCGAGACGCCGTCGCGCAGGGACGCCTGCTCCGGGAGGCAGAACGCATGAACCGCGACGACATTGGCGTCCCACTGGACTTTGTACCAAACGAGTCCTACATGCGGGCCGCGTTGGAGAAGAACAACGACACCCTGGGCGAGGACGAGGAGCTCTTCAAGGACGAGATTGTGGACTACTACAAAAATCACCCACAGTCAGTAGCCGCGAAGCGACGAGGCAACGCAGTACTCACGGAGAAGGCGAAACCCGTCGAGGAGCCGGTGGCGCTGGTAAAGCCACACCGCTTCTGTAAGGTGAAGACGGGCTACACATGGACCCAGTACAACCGCACGCACTACGACGCACGTACAAATCCTCCACCGAGGAGTGTACTCTGGTACGAGTTTACGCTCTTTTATCCTGCGCTGGCTGACACAAAGCGAGACATGAGCCGCATTTACCACATTGAGAACACAATGAAGGGTCCAAACGATGACTACTGCATCTTAGTTTTCTCCGTGGGTCCACCGTACGCGGATGTCGCGTACCAAATTGTGCGAAAGCAGTGGGACCCACGGCCCGGTGGCGTCAGGGCGAGCTTTGACAGCACAGGCACCTACAGGTTGTTTTTCCGCTTCACGAATAGCAACTACCGGCGTTGAGTTGGCTCTCCACAAAACCAAAAGAAGGCAAAAAAAGAGTGGTGAACACAAAACCTGGGTTGCATATTACTTACGACGCGGGTGTAGAAGTAAAAGGAGAAGACTGGCGGCAGCATGGCAGGGGAGTGCGCTGCCTGCGCATCGCGGCGTGGAGGACTTTTTTTTTCTTCCTTTTTTTGTTTTCTTTTCTTTTTTTGGAGGGTCGCTGAGGAGTTATGCATGTATGTTCTCCCCCTTCACTCCTTTGCCGCATGTCCCTCTCTTTCCCTCATGCTGCTAGCGCTTTGCCTCCTGCTAGCTGTGTGTGTATAGCTATATATATATATATATATAACATAATATATTGGTCCCTGGCTGCAGCGGTAGTATTAGTGGCTCGGGCCTGGCTGTGTGTGTGTGGGGGGGGGGGTTGGAGTGGACGATGACGGTTCTGCATAACCCCGGTCTGCCGCGCGTCCTCAACCGCATCACCCCGCAGCGGCTCGAGTTGACGCTGATGCTCCTCAAGGAGCGGAAGAAGAAGCTGCGCTACCTTGGCAGCTACCTCCAGCACTACAACGATCGCATGTTTCTCTACAACGCCATGGGAGGACTGCGGGGGACGAAGTTTATTGTTGAGCGTCACCACCATAGGGCCCAGTACTGTCACCCCACGCTTCACTCTGAGCGCTACGACGTTCGCACCGTCAAACTGAAGGGGTCACAGTTTGACCAGCTGGGAAACTTTACGCGTAACAACTGGGACTGCATGATCGCCACCACGAACCTCTTTCAGGACTCAACCTTCCGCCGCCACCTCACGGCCGTGCACAAGGACGAGGCCATCGCCCTGCTGGAGGGCTGGGGAGTGAAGTACGTGCTCCTGGACGAGATGCGGAAGCCGACGGTGCAGGACAGCATTTACGTGCGACACCACCTCTACGCGCATAAGTTTCCGTACATTCCCGACCCCGTCACAAACGCCTACTACGGCGACGCCGACTGGAAGTGGAAGGGAAATGAGAAAATTGACTACACGCAGCATGGTGCAGCGGCGAAGGAGGCTCGGAACGACTTCCGGAGTCTGTGGTCATCCGCGGTTAGAGCAGCTGCCGACGCGCCGGCAGCGAAAACGAAGAAGGCGACGCCCTCCTAAGTGGTGCTGCGGCGGCGTTAACGACTTCAGCGGAGTAGTAGTAAAGTCAAAGAATTCAGCAAGGCATCAGATGGGCTCGTGAAGGGAATGTTTTATTATTATTTTGATACTTGCTGGGAGTAGTAGTAGCAGCAGCAGCAGCAGCGGCAAGAGTGGTAGTGAGAGTAGTAGTATTTGTATTATCACCTGCACGGCAACCGGGCGGCGTCCCTCGCCGTCGTGGGCAAACGTATTGGGTGTGAGCTGTTTTTTTTTTCCCCCTACTGAATTTTTTTCTTTAGACGCACACGCACACACCTCTTGTGTACTGGACGGGGCAGCGGGGGCGGAAGAAGGGGGAGTCACGGCGGGTGTTTGTGTGTGTGTGGGTGTCATGTGCAAGTGGCGGTGGTGGGGTGGAGTTGCCGGCCGCCCGCCCTCTGGGGCTTCGCGTGGAGGGATCCAACGCCGTTGCGCGCGCTCTCGCTCTCGCTCTCGCTCTCGCTCTCTCTTTCTCTCAGTGCACGTTTTCCCTTCTTTCTTCTTCCTTATTCTTTCTGTGTGTCCTCGTGGGTGCTTCACGTAGAATTCCCGCAGCGGAGGAGGCGCACGCCCGCCACACACCACCGCGATACGAAGTGGGGCGTCCCTCTTCCCGCCCCCGCCCCCTGCACTTCCCGTTTGCCCCCGCTACACCGCCGCCCACCCACGGAGGCCGCGCCGCGGCGGTAGTAGTTTTTATTCTTGCAGCTTTGGCCCCACTGCTGAGCGGCACGGAGACGGGCGATGCTGCGGCGTACGAGTAGTTTGCTTGCGGCCTCGCCGGGGGTCGGAATCGCCCCAGAGACGACGCCCGTCAAGTACGTCCCCTCCATGCTGAACATCCAGAACATGATGTGGTGGAACGGCAGGCGCAACACGCACCGCGCGACTTACCGTGAGAAGACGTGGTACGAGGTGAGCCGCATGGGCGCCCACGCGAAGGGAGGGCGCTCCATCATGCGCCAAAAGTACTCCCCGGAGGCGCTGCGGTTGGCGCTTGCGATGGTGCCGGAGTGGTTTGAGGTGGCAGATGTGCCGCGCCCGCCCCAGCGCATTCGGGCGCAGTCCGAGGGCATTGTGGGGCGCTGGTACAGCAACTACTGGACGCTGCACGCGGTGAAGTACCAGTGTCGGCTGGCCAACGTGGAGTGGCCCTTTGGGGAGCGGCAGCGGCCGCGCACCAACTACGAGGAGCCCTTTTTTTTGTTGACTTTGAGGAGAGCAAGGCGGTGCGGGACTACCGCAGCCGCTGGATCAACGTGAATCGTAGTTTGGTGGGCATGACAAAACGCATGAAGGAGGCGGAGGAGGAGACGCGCTACATGCAATTTCGCAAGCAGCAGGACACATTCTGGTCCAACCGCAAGGTGCTGGTGAACCGCGTAAAGTCGATGTATAATCAAGGCACCATGGCGTCGGCCAAGGACCTGCCCATTAAGACCATCAACATCAAGGCATTCTTGGCGGAATGAGTGAAACGCAGGCCCGGAAAAGGGAGGCGGACGGAGGCAGTGAGAGAAACGTGAGAGGACGAAAGAGAAACGAGAGAGAGAGAGATAGAGAGAGAGAGAGAGGAGGAGAGGTGCATGCATGGCGCGGAGCCAAAACAACAACAACAGCAACAACAAAAACTAGCAGGATTAATTATTTATCTGCGGGTGTCTTCACGGGTACGCCAGCGCTGTTTTGGGAAGATTTATTCACCGCGGAGTGGCCCGGCGAGGTTGTTTGTGTTTTTTCTTTTGGCGCTCACGCTCTGGACTGCGCCGTTTGAGGGGACCTCACCGCACGGCAGGTTGCCATTGGCGCGGGAAGCGGTGCAAACTCCACGTTTGACACACGCATCTGCATGCATATGTGTCACTGCTGCCGCTCGGCTGAGTTGTTCCCTCTCCTTACCTCTACTTTTCAACGCACACGCACAATCCCCGAGCAGTACGCGCGGCCGTGTCCTTCAGGAGCATGGTTGGAGGCACCCACAGCAGACGCGACGCAAACCGGGGCGGGTGGGCGTATTGGGCTAAGAGTTTCCTACACGCCTTCTGGGACACCGCATCGCGCAGCACCCGGTCCCCTTCGTCTTATTGATTTTTGTTCCTCTTATTTTCCTCGTGCTGGGACTTGTGCTGCTCCACTCGGGAGAATGAACATGTTCGCCTGCAACGGCCATGCACACCACGGAGCGCACGGCGGCGAGGGCGACGGGACACGTCGACCGCCACCACCATGGCGGCTGCAGCGGTGAAAAGGGGCCGTACTCGGCGGGGCTGCATGTGATGGCCATCTTCGTCGTGCTCGCGGCCTCGCTTGTGGGGACGCTTATCCCACTTGCCGGGAAGTACGTGCCGTGCCTGCGGTTGCACCCGTTCATGTTTGTCCTTGGCAAGTGCGCGGCGACTGGTGTGGTGCTGGCCGTGGCAATGATCCACATGATTAACCACGCTGCCCATGCGTTTGGGGAAGAGTGCGTTCCAGACTCATGGAAGCAGTCGTACGACGCGTACGCGTTCCTTTTCGCGATGATTGCGGCCATACTGATGCACGCGCTTGAGACGCAGTTGGTGGATATGTTTGTGAGCAGCGAGGCCCCGTCTTCCCCACTTGGAGAGGGCGGGGAAAAGAGGGGCGTGACGGAGGGCGAGGAGCGTGCCGACGGTGCCGCCGACGTTACTGGCGACGCCCACCATCACAGCCATGTGGTCGTTCCCGTGTCGGGCGGGGCGACCCATCGGCTTCTCTCGGCCCTGTTCATGGAGTTCGGTGTGACGCTGCACAGTGTGTTCATTGGGCTGACGGTTGGCATCACGAACGACGCGGGCACGAAGGCACTCCTCGTGGCGCTGGTGTTCCACCAGATGTTCGAGGGGCTTGCGCTGGGCTCACGTCTGGCGGACGCGTCCATGCGCATGTCGCTGGAGCTGCTGCTTGCGCTGATCTTCTCCATCTCTGCCCCAGTGGGCACCGCAGTGGGCGTGGGCGCCGTCGTGGGGTCGAAGGTGGCGGTGACCGGGACGACGTTTGTGGTGCTGCAGGCGATCTTTGATTCGTTGTGTGGCGGCATCCTGATGTACCTGGGCTTTGTCCTCATGCTGAGCGACTTCCCGGCGGACCTGCGGAAGCACGCGGCTGCGGGTATGGCGCATCGCGGTTGGAAGCGGCTGGCGATGTTCGTGGCACTGTGGGCAGGCGCCGGGATTATGGCGGGGATCGGGAAGTGGTTGTAGGGGGGGGGGCAGAGGAGGAGCAGCCGGGGGCGGCCCCGCGGGACAGGGCGTGGTACGATAAAACATAATATAATTTGGTGTGTGTGTGTGTGTAAGCCGTGTGCAGGCGTTGTGGGATCTACGCGTCTTGAACATGTAGGTATGGGGGTGTGCGTCGAGGGAAGTGTGTGCGTGCGTGTGTTTCGTCGGGTTCGCGCCTGCACCGAGTGCCGAGTTGCACGTGCGGTGCGCTCCCTCAGGTGCTGTGGGGGAGGGACGAGGTGCGCGGGGTTGTGCGCTGCCAGGCGGCCGACAGAACTGGCCGATGGCTGCAGCCTCCGCGCCGCAGCGCGCAGCGAGAGAGAGAATGAGAGGCGGGCGCCCGGACTGCCCCTCCCCGCCAAGGAGGGGGGAGGCGCACGGAGGGGGCACTGTGGGGGAGAGTGCGTTGCTGGCACGCGTGTCTCGCCGTGACGCCTGCGGGGGCGACAGGACGCCTTCGCGCCGCTGTAGTGGATCGTACTTCTTTTTTTTTAAAAATCATTATTGTTATTTACTATTCGCTTGTTTCCCGCAATGGCTGCTTGGTAAACTTGTTTTCCCTGCAAACGAGTGTGTGTTGGCGGGGAGGAGCCTGAGCCGGGAGCGTCCGCCCGGGCCGTGGCGTTGCCTTTTCCGTCCCCCGCCGCCGCCGCCGCCGCGCAGCGGGGCGCCTTGCACGCACTCTGCCTCCCTCTCTCCCTCCCCGTTCTCCTCTTTTGTCTCTGCTGCGCTGCTCCGCCGCCGCGGCACCCGAGGAAGACGTTACCGCGCAAAGTTCACACGCTCACTCTCCCAGCCAGAGTTGTTTTTGTTTTTTTGGCCTTTTAACTGCCGGCAGAAATGAGTGGCAACGAAACGTGCAGCGCACTCCTTGCCAATTTCGCCTCGCTGCAGGGGAAGATGAAGGCGCAGAAATGCGAAGCCCCCGAGCCGGACGACCACGACCACGACCACGACCACCATCACCACCACCATGGGCACAGCCATGGCGGGTGTGGTGGCGGCCATGGGGCGTACTCGGCGGGGCTGCATGTGATGGCCATCTTCGTCGTGCTCGCGGCCTCGCTTGTGGGGACGCTTATCCCACTTGCCGGGAAGTACGTGCCGTGCCTGCGGTTGCACCCGTTCATGTTTGTCCTTGGCAAGTGCGCGGCGACTGGTGTGGTGCTGGTTGTTTCTTTAATGACTGTGTTTCATCACTGTTCTCTTGCGGCATGTTTTTTTTTGGTGTGACTCGCATTTGTTTTTTTTTTTTCGTGGCTAGTCTTTTAAAAAAAATTTTTTGTCCTCTTATATATATTTTTTTCTACAGTGAAGGACTGTGGTGCTGCTACGATTGTTGCTCGAGCCCAAAGAATAAACACACCTTTCTAAAGCTATGCGCCGTCCGCTCCGTGCCGCGCTGCCGCCGCTGCTGCTCCTCCTCCTCGCGATGATGTGTTGCGCCGGTGGGTGCCTCGCCGCCGCACGCCGTTGCGTGTTCGATGAGGTGGTGCGGAAGTGCGGTTCGCCGCCGGCTGCGGTGGTACGTGAGGTGCCGCGGAAGGGGCAGGGCGCGACGCAGGCGTACACCGTCGCAACGCCCGAGGCGGACGGTGAGTGGAGGCCGATTCGTGTTCTGGCGTCTACGAGGGACCTGGAGGACCCAGAGAAGCACTGCAGTGCCGTGGATGATGTACGGCCGGATTTCTTGGGCGGCACAGGTGTATGTCTTAAGGAGCATTTGATGACACGGAATATACTGTTTGCCATGACGAATAATATTATTCCCGGGGCTATTGGGCTGCACTCGAGTCGTCTTCTCGTCAGACGTGTGCGCAGGGTGCTGATGGTGCCTCCGTTTAATGCTGGAATGCTTTGTAGTGAGTTCAGCGTCCCTGTGGAGCACTACTCTCCCGGAATTGCGGATGCCGACTTGGTGCTGTACGTGGGTGCCGGGCCGTCCTCTGTCTCCTGGGCTCTTGCATGCGCCACGGAGGGGGGTCGTCCGTTCGTTGGAGGCCTGCACATTGCCGTTCCCGACTGCCTTTTGGCGCGTCTGGCCGTGCGGATCGTTGCGCACGAGGTTGCGCACGCTCTTGGCTTCAACTACCAACAGATGGCGGGGCTGCGGATGGTGTCGAACGACACGACTCTCCCTGGCGGGGGACGCGCCGTGGTGACCACCGCGGAAACAAAGAAGCAGGTCCAGGCACACTACAGCTGCAGCCGTCTTGATGGTATGGAGCTGCAGACGACCGCGGGTGGGGCACCGCAGTCACACTGGACGTGGCGCAGCGCGAAGGACGAGCTGATGAGTGAGTTCTTGGGCGAGGGCGGAGGCCTCTACACCGCACTTACGATGGCCGTCTTCGCAGATATGCCGTTTTACAAGGTGCGCTGGGAAATGGCCGAGCCGATGAGTTGGGGGAACGGCTCGGGTTGCGGCTTGCTGGAAGGCAAAAGTGCACCCGAGAGCATTGCCGGCTACTCGAACATGTTTTGCGATGTCGCCGATCAGAGCCTGCGCTGCACTTCTGACCGCAATTTCGTGGGGAGGTGCACCAGCGTAGCCACGAGCGACTGCTCGGGGAACGGAGGATCGGGCTGCTCTTTCGTTGCATCGTTTTTGCACGAGGGAACGGCGGAGGGCGGCCTTCGGAGCTTTTGCGCCGACAGGAATGTTGAGTTTCTCCCTGGCGGGCGCACGGGCATTTACTCGTGGTGCCTGGATGCGGAGTCCCTCACCGTGACAGCGGGGAACGGCAGCCGCGTGGAGCAGGAGCAGGACGTTGGCGGGGTGTGTGCGCAGGTAATGTGCGACAAGGGGAAGGTGTGGGTGCGGTACCTCGGCAACAACACGTGGCACGACTGCCGCGCGGGCGGATTCATTGCGCCCGCGTCCCCCGCATTCAAGGACGGCGGCAGGATCTGGTGCCCGGAGTACAGCGCGGTGTGCACCATTGCCCCTGACGGCAGCAGCTTTGTCACGCCGGGCAGGCCGGACGCCGCGGTGAGGGCCACGCAGCTTTGGCCGCTTATGTTTTTCGTCCTTTTTTATATTCTCCTCGTCGCCGTCGTGGCCGCGGCGCCTCTGTAAGCGGGGGGTTGGGGTGTAGCTGCGCGATGGGCCTGCAAGGCTGCCCCCCTCCCCTAATTATTCCCGCGCCCAGTGGAGGTTGCATAATGAATTTCTAATGCTTTTGATTTCCTCCGTGTTTTATAATGTGGGGTGGCGCGAGATTCTCTTTTTTTTTGTGTGTGTGTGCGTTTGTGGCAGTCAAAGTAATGCTCCGAACAGTCCCGTTAAATTGGTTTATGTAATAATGCTATATTAGTCCCTGCTGTCTCCTTTCTGGGCTTACCGAGAGACCGCGCTTGCCGCCTTTGGGACAAATGCTGCCATCGTTCTTTGTTTTGTTTTTGTTTTCCTGTTTGTCTTCAGCCACCTTCTGCTCTTCAACAGCCGCAGTGCGGAGCGGGCGAGAGTGAGAAAACGTCGTGCCTGTCTGCGGTGCGTCTTGCCGGCGAGGGCAAAAACGCCCCCTTTTGGGTTGCCGGGAAGTCTCTCTTGCATTCATCTCCCCCCCCTCCTTTTTTTTTCTGTTGCGCCCGCCAGGGAAAGTGGAAGCCGACGGGCGTCCGCCGCACAAGCGCCCCCACGCCTTTCCGTTGCTTCTTCGCCTCCCGCAGACGATGCCTGCGCGGGAGCAGACGGGCGGCAGTTTCGCCCAGCCGCGCGCCTGCGGCCGCAGCACACCGCTGCGCGTTCGACGAGGCGATGTGGAGGAGCGGCGCGGCTCCGACTGTGGCGGTGCGTGAGGTGCCGCGGCTCGGCCGATGGCTGCCGGGGTCGCGCCTGGGGAGGCCCGGTGCGCCGCGCTGGAGGAGGGCCGTCCGTCGGCCCGTGCCGTGAGCTGCAGTTCGCGCCAACCGGATGAGGCGGGGGCTCGCCGTTCGCCCCCCGCCTTGGCGTTAGACTCAACACACTGAAAAACAAGGACAAAAAGAAGAAGCGGTTCCACGTTGTTGCGCAGGCGTGGAGTGCGTGGGGACTTCCTCGGGGATGACGGCGGCTGGAGGCAACGTTCAAGCAAAGGCGAGGGCGCACGCCAAGCGCGATTCTCTAGCGGGCGGCGGAGCTGGGGGTTAACCGCCTGTCGCGCCGGGGAGGGCACGGCTCCCCGCCGCTCGTGGATACAACGTGACGGGCAGCGTGCTTCGTGGTGCGTTGGCGGTTGTGTATAATATACACGGTGGCGCGGGGGGTTTGTCGCCGCCGCGGTTGTCTTCCGCGTTCGGGCGGAGCAGTGGCGTGGGCGCGAGGCGGGGTACACAGCGACGGGCGGGGGAAAACACAACTTCTTTGCCGTGCAGGGCCGGCGTGTGGACTTTGGGGTGGGTGGGAGGGGGGCGAAGTGTCCCGCGCTGCCTCAGCGCGAGTCTCTTCCACGGGGCCCCACCGTCACCGATGGAGGCGAAGGACACAAACGCGGGAGGGCGAGAGCGTCCCTGCGATTTACGCCTCTCGCTGCCGCGTATTTTGTATCAAACCGACACACTGCACTAAAACCCACGCGGGGTGTGCCATCAACTGGTCGAAGAACGACTGCAAACAGCTGCTCTCGCGGTTGCACAAGCGGAGAGGGCGCAACTCCTATTCGTGTGCCTTTGTTTTTGTTTTGTTTGTTTGTTTGCGGTATGGATGCACGCATGCACCCTCTTCCACGCCCCCGCGCAAACCATATGGGCTGAAACGCCAGCCACGTATGTCTTGTCTTGTGCTAACCGCCGGATTTCTCCGTACCCCCCCCCTCCCCCACGTGCCTACGAAGAAACAACGGAAAAAAGTCAAGCATGCAAAGTAAGAAAAAAAAAAGGAACGTGCTAAAGATTGGGTCCTGCTTATTATTACTTTTATTATTACTATTTTTTTTCTGTGGAACTTCTCTTTGTTTGGCGAGGGCGTCCGTTTTTCCGTCCGTGCCTGCTGCTGCGTCTTTTCTTTTGCGGGAGCCTGAATCCCCAGGAGGGGGAGATATGCCTCCTTAATTGCCA